CAGAGTGAGACCTGGGCCTGTCCTGGAAGCCCTGCTCCGTACCCAGTCCTCCCTGGCCAGCCCTGGCTGGTTGCCATTTGGTGACAGCAAGGGTGATGCCCATATGTTCTGTTTGCCCTCCGAGCTGCCTCTGGCGCTGCCGGGTGGGGTGAAGATTGCAAGCCCACTTGGCAAATGGAGACGCAGGCTCAGAGAGGGCTTCGGATTTGCCTGGGGCCACACAGCAGGTGCGAGGCTCCAGGTGCAGTGCTCTCCTGCCTGTCCCACCCTGGGTCTCCCGGCAGTCCCCTCTCTGCTTTCCTGAATCCCCAGTCCTGGGGGGCTAACAGTCCTTGCCTTGACCTGCTGGATGCCAGAGACGGGCCATCCTGGAAACAGGGGGCCCTGCCTCAGGGCTGGAGTGCTCAGGGAGCTCCCCGGGGCTGGGAGGGCTGTGGGGTGCGGGCGGCCAACGTGTGGCCTCCCTGCTTGTCTCCGACATTCTCCGGGGATACTGGTGGATGGCACAGCGGGCGGCAGCATCTGAGGGTGCAGATCTATGCTGGGGTGGGCTCTGGACCCCAAGAGGGGTCTGTAGGCCTCCTAAGACCACAGTGTGCCCCAAAAGACCATCCATATGGCCTTCACCCAAACTGCTGCCCCCACCAGCAGGCACCCCAGGAACAGTAGCTGAGCTCAGAGGGCCGCTGGGCCACCAGCTGGAGCAAAGCCCTCCCCACCTCCAGGCTGTGGTCCCGTCGGTGAGACTGGCCTCCTGGGGGGAACTAGTTCATGGGGTTGTGGCAGAGCACTGGCCCTAGAGCTGCTCCTGTGCTGGGCTTGGGGGCCTTGGGTCGTGGGTACACAAAGGAGGCAGGCGTGGGTGCCACCCACCACCCCCTGCAGCCCGTGGGGCACCTGGCAAGAGCCCAGAGGAGGGCACTGCACGCCCCAGCTGGATCCAGAGCCTGCGGGAGCCACAGACACGTGGGAGCACGGGCAGGTGTTGCAGGCAGAGCAAGGGCTGGGGCCCACCAGGGCGGACAGGGGGTGGCAGGCTGCTCTGCTCAAGGGTGGTGATGTGCTGGTGCCCACAGGTGGGCCAGATGTTCAGGCTGGCTAAGCTTGGCTTCAGGAAATGGTGGTGAGGATGGTGGCATCAGGCCTCGGGGGCTTTGGGTCATCTCAGTGGCCTGAGGAGCCACCAGTGGCGGCTCAGCTAGGTCCGTGGGTTTGAGGGGCCTCTCTGTAAACCTACGCACTCGCCCGTTCTCCCCTGGCAGAGGGCATGCAGGCAGGGCGCTGGGCACTGGTCAGACGGTCCAGGGATAATTTGGGGCAGGGACTGTCTCCCACGTCCATGCTCGAGCACAAGTCCTCCCAAGCCAGTGTCCGGGTCTGTAAGACGAGGCCACTGTCCCCACACTCTCTTGAGAATTAAATGAGGTGCACGTGCAGAGGGGGGAATGCCTGCGCCCCCCCACCCAGGGCCTCCTGTCATCCTCCTTGACTTTCCCCAAACTCCTGCACTCACCGTTCGCCTCCCCCTGTCTCCATGGAGAGACAGAGGGTTTGGCACATTAAAACCAAATAAAAAAGGAATTAGCAGGAGTGGCGGCTCTGTGGGTGAGTAACCGGTGAGTAACCGAGAGTCTGCGCCTGGTGGGGCACAGCCAGGTGGGAGCAGGGCGGCAGGAAGCCCTGGCGGGCGGCTTTCTGGGTTCTCCAAATGCACAGGCCCAGGCCAGGGCCCACGGGCCCGCTTGGGGGCTTCGGGACAACAGGGCATGGATGGCCGCCCTCTGGCTCTTGTCGGGAAGAGGAGGGCACAGGGCCTCCAGGGACCGCCCACGGCATCCTCGCTCGGGCAGGGCTTGCCTGTGGGGCTTTTGACTCCCTGGCCCAGCCTCTTGGCATGATTGTGCAAGCAGCTGAGATACCTACCCACCTCCACCACCCCACCACAGTGGTGCCCGGCTGGTGACATGCCTGCTCCAGGCCAGCCCCACCTCCCGAGGGCTTCTGCCCAGCGACCACCTGTTGGCTAGACCCCATGGGCCCCACGTTAGAGGGTCCAGACACAGCATCTCCTCCCCAAGGGGGCTCTGCAGGCCTCTTCTCTCGCCCCCTCCTGTCCCCTCTTGCCCAGTGTAGCTGCAAAGGCATCAGGCTGGGGCAGGATGACCTCCAGTGACCTGAGCCCCAGGTTCTGAATCCCTCCTCCTTGCCTGGGTTCAAACCCTGCTCTAGAAGCAACGCCTGTCTTATAACCTCCTGGGGCCTCGGCCTCCTCGTCTGGGAGGTAGGGCTGATAGTGAGACCTGCCTCTGACGCTGCTGTGAGAGTGAGGGGATGCCTGCGGAGGCTGCAGGGCGCCCGGCGCCGTGGGACAGCTGCCGAGCGAGCAACAGTGGTGTGGCGGTGAGCGACCGATGGCGCAGTGTGAGCATAGCCCTGCCGATCTGTTCTCTAAGTAGTTCTGGAATCCCCGACTCTCGTGCAGCCAGAGTGAGCCCCCAAACCTGAGCCCCCCAGCACCTGGCCCTGGCACCTGCACGGGCAGTGACGTCTGCCTCGTGGGGCACCTCTGGCCAACCCATCCGGCTTCCCCAGACCTCGGCTGCCTCTTTTCCTACTACTTGGTCTCACACTTCAGCGCCAGTATCCCCAAACTGTTTCAGGCCCCTGCACCTTTGCTCCTGCTGTGCCCACTGCCAGGAGTGCATACACCCACCACACACACACATACACACACCGTTTACACACTCACACTAAGACACTACACACTCACACAGATTCATAGGGAATTCGCTTGTACTTGTAGGACTTATTTTACTTAAGATGTCACCTCCTTCAGGAAGCCTTCCCTGACTCCACCACTCACAGAGGGAGGTGGGGACATCCTTTGGGGTTCCATGACCTCCTGTGCCCTTCTCACAGAGCTCTGTGGTCCTCTTCTTTCCTGGAAAGGAGTCTACTGCCCCCTCTCCTGCCGTGCAGGCCTGCGTGTGCCGTCTGTGTGAGCCTGTAGGCAGGCCCTGCTGGGCTTGGGCAACACAGACAGCAGGGAGTTCGGTAACCCACTTTGCACCCACCTGACTGCCCTTAGATTGTCTTGATCTCATGGCTAGCTGGGAGGCCGACTTCCGGGTCCTCCCTGTGCCTGTGTGTGTCTGGGAGCTCCCAGCTGGCTGGCTGTGGGGCAGGGCCTGGGGCTCCTCTATGCTCCCGAGAGGCAGCTTCTCAGGGCAGTGCCTGGGGCGTGGAGCCCTGAGCTGTCCTGGGGTTGTGTGGTCAGAGCTCTTGGGTGGTGTGCTGACCCTGGGGGAGAGGGGAGGAAGGGGGTTGTGGGTTAGGAAAGGACCGGAGGGGAGGGGAGGCTGGCCGGGGAAGGCAGTGGCCACCCTGTGCCCTGTGCAGACCCTGATTCACTGGGAAGGAAGGGATGCCCGACACTGCATCCCCCTCAGCTTTTCTCAGAGGACCAAGTTCCCAGGAAGCTGGGGCCCCTCCGTGACAGGGAAAACTCTCTTTGCCCCAGGCCTCCTCTCTGACCAGCAGTTCCCATCCTGGTCCTCACCCCGGCTGGAGAGATGGCCGGGAGCAGTTGGTAGGTGGAGGTGCACACAGCCAGGACCCGGCAGGAGGCTGGGCATGCAGTCAGTACTGGTCACCCCAGTCACCGTTAACAGGGACAGCAGCCAGGAACACTAAGGGGCCTGTTGGCACTTTCAGGTCACAGGTGCAGAGGTTCAGGGGTGGGTCTCCAGCTGCATCCGCCTAACCACACGGGCCCTGCCCGCCTCAGCTGCCTGCCAGGCTGTGCCCCATTGCTGAGACAGGCACTGAGATCCCCTCCCGGATGGAGGCTGGCGTTGGTCCACGCAGCATCACTGAGCCCCTTGCCCACAGTGTCAGGTGCTGGGGACCAGGCAGACCTGGCCCGGACCCACTGGGAACCTCCCAGCTCTTGGGATAAGTGAGAGGGGATGGTAGGATGCATAGGGCCTGGCTGGGGGCTGTGGAAAATAAAGCATTAGAGCTGGACCTGCCCCTCTAGGGGGCTTGGGACCTGCACAGAACCAGGGAGTCCCAGCCACAGGGCTGATCAGGTGGACAGTGTCAATGAGAGGTTCAGGTCAGAGAGGTAGGGCAGCCAGGGCTCCTCTTCGGCTAGAGGTCTGGGAGGGCTGCCTGGAAGAGGCATTGGAAGTGGAACCAACCTTGAATGTCATTCAGATTTGGGCATGAAGGGAAAGGGAATTCCATGAAAAAAGCCAGGAACCATCCTGGAGCAGGTGAGCAGCCGGAAGGACAGAGTCATTGTTCCGGGTGGAGGCTGGGGGACGGGGATGGAGGGACGAGGACGCTGGCGGTTCCGACGGGAGCTGGGCCTGCGGGCCTGCCCCTCCCAGCTTCGGCCGCGAGCGAAGGCACAGGGCGGAGGTGCCTGGAACTGCCATTTGGGCCCCCTGGCTGGTGGCTGGGAATGGGGGAAGCTGGGAGGACTGGCCTCGAGCCGGGCAGTTTGGGGGCCTCCGAGTCGGGCTGGGACGTTGGAGGAGAGGGAGGCCCAGGAGGCCAGTGTGTGGTGGCTCGGAGGAAGGAGACCGGGGTGGGGGCTCTGAGCTGCGTGCTTCTGCCTGGCGCCTGGCTGGTGGGGTGGGGCTTCTTCCCCCCATGGGGGTCAGTACAAGTGATGGCAGAGGGGAGGGGCAGGGGCGCAGAGCAGCATGCCTCCTCCCAGGGGCCCCCACGTGCCCTCCCAGGTTTGGGAGGCCAGTGTCTCCAGCCTGGGCGCTTGGACAGGAAGGGAAGTTGACAATGGTCTTACCTGCTGGTGGCAGAGCCGGGGCACACACTGAGTGCCCACTGCATACTAGGCACTGTCTTCACTACAGCCCTGCAAGGTGGGTTCCATCAGGGAGGGCAAGTGCTGAGACCAGGGTTGCACAGCCCAGCCCTGAGTGCCCTGAGCCCAGGGGCTGGGGCCTGGGGGCCTCACCGCCCACACCCTCCCCTCCCCGCAGGGAGCCGTGAGGCCGCCTTCACCTACGCCATCACCGCGGCCGGTGTGGCCCACGCTGTCACCGCCGCCTGCAGCCAGGGCAACCTGAGCAACTGCGGGTGCGACCGCGAGAAGCAGGGCTACTACAACCAGGCCGAGGGCTGGAAGTGGGGCGGCTGCTCTGCGGACGTGCGCTACGGCATCGACTTCTCCCGGCGCTTCGTGGACGCCCGGGAGATCAGGAAGAGCGCGCGGCGCCTCATGAACCTGCACAACAACGAGGCCGGCAGGAAGGTAGGGCGGGCGGCCCGGGGCGCGCGAGGTGCTGCGCCACCGGGGTCTCGGCCTCCCTGAGCCGCGCCCAGCGTGGGGGGCTGGTGCCCGCACCCCCTCGGGTGTGCAGTGGGGCGCTGGGTGCGCCTGTCTCCTCCGACGGCCCGCAGCTCCAAGGGGCGGGCCTTACCGGTCCCATTCTAGTGGTGGGAAGGTGGAGGCTGGGAGTGGTGAAGTGACGCGCTCGTGGTGGTGGGGCTGAGACAGGGGCTGAGTGCTGGGGGTGGTCTGGGGACCACAGTCCCACGTTACTGCCCTGGTCTCAAAGGGGTCAATACCAAGGAAAGCTTCCTGGAGGAGGTGGCCTTTGGTCAGTTTTGCCAGGGGAGACCAGAGGTAGGAATGTCCCCAGGAGGTAGAAGCACCTGAGGAAGGGGGGACCTGCAAGCTGGGGGCTCTTAAGGGGCAGCCAGCTTCACGCATGGGGTGAGGTGCGGTGTGGTGGGTGATGACAGCGGGCATCCAGGCAGGGCTACCCCGGGGGGAAGTCAGGGCCAGCCCCGTCCCGCCGCAGGGAGATGAGTGCCCCAGATACTGGGCTGGGAGGGGCACCTGCCATGGCGGCAAGATGGCCCGCGATAGGGTGGCCAGCAGAGCGAAACGCTGCTCTGGGTCTGGCCCCTGGCTCGGGGCCTGCGCTCAGAGCACCAGGGCCCATGGGGTTCCCCAGTCGGGGGACAGGCGTGCCTTTCCGGGCAAAGAGGACCTGAGATCATCCTGGGCCCCAGGGGCCATAGCTGAGGCCTTCGGTTGCTCACTCACTCACTCAGCAAATGCCTCCTGCCCCTTCTCTGTGCCGGGTGCTAGGCTAGCAGTGGGGCAAGGAGGAGTGAGACCCGGTCCCGGCTGTCAGAGCTGCCACGGCACCCACTGGGTCCCTGTGAGGAGATGGGGGCCGTGCCATGGGACAGTGGGGGCCTGGGGACCCTAGGGAGGGAGCAGAAGCCTCCCAGAGGAGGTGGTGTCCAAGGAAGCCTTCCAGGACATGCCAGGGCTGAGCAGAGCAGAGACAGAAGGAGCTGCAGATGCGGGCACACTGGGGTGAGGCACGAGGGGCGGGCAGGGCTCCTGAGAAGTAAGCAGGGGCTGCCGGAACAGGCTTGAATGCCAGGCCGAGGAGTCAACTTGATCTTGTAGACACAGAGGTTGCCACACAGCAGGTGGTTATGAAATTGTCAAGTGAATGAGGAAGGAATGAATGAATGGATGGGTGAAGGAATGAGTGAAGCATCACTGCCTCCAAGTTCTCACCGACAGCGTGTAGGCACCATTGTGCAGGCAGAGGCAGACCTCCATCGTGCTGCGACGGGGCAGAGGAAGGTGCAGGTTGCTTACCTGGAGGCGTTGGGAGGGCTCCCTGGAGGAAGAGGCATGGCTGGGCTCTTAACAGAATCATCATCGCTTGAGCTTCTGCAGCAGCTTAGGCCCTGAGCAGGGACCTTCCCCCACCCCTGAGAGGAAGGTATCACCATCCCCACATTACACACGAGGACAGGGAGGCCCCAGGGATTGGCAGAGCCTGGTCACTGCTATGCGGGGACACGTCAGAGTGAAGCACCCAGAAGAGATGTGGGGAGGGGCGGGGAGACCAGCACAAAGCATGGGCGCGGGGGTGGGCCCTGGGGTGGGTGGAGGGGCCTCGGGCCACACGTGCAGCGCAGTGAGGCCACGGGCCCAGCTCAGGTTGGCCGGGCGGGCAAGGAGGCTAGCGGCTTGCCCCGCGGTGGCCCCAGGCGCTCCTGGGCTTGTGGCCTCATCAGCCAGGCTCCACCTCTGTCTCCACACGGCCATCGTCTCTGCGTCTGTGTTTTCTCCGTTGTCTCTTAAAAGGAGACGTGTCCTTGGATTTAGGGTGCCTCCTGGTACAGGATAGCCTTGTTGTGCGCCTTACCCTAAGACACCTGCAGAGACCTCACATTCCGAGTAAGGTTCCGAGTGGATATGCGTTCTCGGGGCTCACTCTTCAGCCCACCGCATCCCTAGTGGGACAGGTCAAGTGGGCTGAGCCTGGAGCTCACTGCCCGCTTCTGGTAGATGAGCCCTCTCGCGGGCTGTGTGGCCTCACTGAGCCACCACGTGGTGCCTGTGTGTGAGGCGTCCCCTGTGGTTGTGCAGGTGTAAGTGGCCAGTGTCTGCTGGTGGTTCCGCCTCTGCTGTGTGCTCCCCCCTTTTCAGGGCAGGAGCAGCAGGACAGCCAGGAGCTTGCCCAGCTGGGAAGGCCTGGGGGCTCTTGTCAGGATGGTGCTGGGCTCCTCTCAGTGATAGGAGGGTCGAAGCCATGGCTGGCAAGCACCCCCAGCACTGGAGCTCGGGGGTGGGAACCTCGTTAGCTGGGCACAACCCTTACCTGACCTTGTCTAAGGTCCAAGCTGGTTCTTCCCCCGGGGGCATATAATTTCCAGTGTCTGGATGAAAACACAGGCTGCAGGGATGGGCGACTTATGCCAAGTCCCCAGCTGAGCAGCTGCTGGCCAGGCTGGGCCCCCATGGCCACAGTCTCTCCATCATGGCCTGGTGTGCTAATGAAATAGCCTCGCTTGGTGACCATGGCCATTTCACACTGTGGCCCTGGGGCAGAGGGTGGGGCAGACATGGGTTGTGTCTCCCAGGGCCTTGAACCCCCAGGGAGAGGTCAGGCTACCACCACGGGCCCCGAGATAGACAAATGGGGTAAGAGGAATCACAGGATCACAGAAGAGGGTGTGGGGTGCCTCCTTGTATGGCCCAGACCCAGAGACGCCTGCCCAGTGCTGTTGCCCTGGTGGTGTGTGAAGTGCCCTCCACTGGCACCAGCACGCCATGACTCCCCCAGCCTGACCGTAACTGAGCACTGTTCTCAGAGTGTGGGCCATACCCTTATTCCAGAAAAAACACCAGGTGGACCCTTTCCTGAAGCCCCCAGTCCACTCCCACACTACCTGGATAAGGGGAAGCCAGGGCCTGGGGGAGGGTCCCACTCGATCCCCAGCTCCTCTGCGCAAGGCTGGGTCACCTGCACCCTCCCAGGTGGTCTCTTGGGGCAGCAGGGCTGGCACCACCATCACTGTGTGCTTATCTCTAGGGTGCTGGAGATGGAAACGGCACATTCTTGAATCCTGCGATCAATTCCCAAGAGAGGCTCAGGCCTGGGGCCCCTGGCCAAGCGAACATGCAGCGTTTGGCTCTGCAAACAGCTGCCCAAATGGCTTCATCTGCCTACGGTTCCCCGGCTGTGCGGGGTCTGAACATCCCCATGTGGGTGGGCAGAGGGCAGGCAGGTAGAGGCTGGGCTGTGGGTCCCTGATGAGGACAGGGAGACGGGAGCTGATGGGAGGTGCTCGGAACAAGGGGTGGGCACCAGTAGCACTGATAGCAAGTGAGCCTGGCTGCCTGGCCTGCATGCCCCTGTCAGGTCTCAGGCATCACGGCCATCTGGGGAGGAGCCTCCAGGGAGCCTCCCCCAAAGCCGGGCACTTGGAGGGGCATCTGTCTGGTCAGCTCTTGGTCTACTTGGCAGGCAGTGCGGCCAGGCAGGGGAAGAAGCTTCCAGGCCTTGAAAGGCAGGTTAGTGGATGGAAGGGCTTTCTGGGGAGGGGTGGGTCCAATCAAAGATGAGCACAGGGCAGGGGTGAGAAAGGAAGATGGATGGGAGAGGTGCAAAGGGCAGGAGGGAGAGAGGAGCCCCAGACATGTTTTCCCTGGTGGGGGTCCACCCTTTACCCAGACTCCCAGACCAGACTTCTGGCCCATGACTGCCACCATCGCCCTGTGATTCCAGTTCTGAGTATTCCCAGCCCTGGACCCCATTCTCTCCTCCAGACACTGGGGCCCTCCCCTTTCCTTTCCCCACTTCTCCCTTTTGCCCCCACCCCCGAGGATGTCATCTATGCAGGTGCAGAGAACCCCACCCTCAAATCCAGGCCACCAGCCTCAGGGCCCAGCCAGCACCCACGTGATGCTCACTGGGGCCAAGTCTTAGTGGTGACGGTGACAGCCCCAGACCTTGCTGGTGACACGCCCCTTCCAGAACAGCCCTCCTTTGTCTAATGAGCATCTGCTCCTCTATCCACACCTGGTGTGGGCACCCCCTCCTCCAGGAAGTCCCCCATTTAGGCACCCTCACCCCCCCCCCGAGGGCTTACAGCCCCTGCACTTTGCCATTTGGGGTATTGGTTTACTTCCCTGTTTCTCACACTGGGCTGAGCCCCAGAGGCCCTGCGTCAGGGAAAGTGGTGCAGGAGTGAGTCCTGTGCAATCTCTCTCTCTCATTCATTCATTCATTTGCTGTAAGTCTCCTTGTCTGGCCCAGGGCTGGGGTTTGGGCCTAGAGTGGCCAAGTTCTTTCAGGGCTGGGCCACTGAACTGAGGCCAGCAGGAGCCCAGACAGCTGACAAATGGCCCTTCTGCAGCCTCAGGGCGGCAGCTAATGATTCCCTATCTTTAATCAGGCCCGGCTGGCAGGGCCCTTTCGATCTGGGTAAATGAGTACCTGGGGTCAGGGCTGGCTCTGGGAATCGGCCTTCCGGGGCCACGGAGGAGGCCCAAGGAAAGCACACGGCTGCACCCACCACAGGCCTCGGAGCTGGGAGAAAGAACAATGTGGTCAGGGCCCGGCTTCCTGGCAGACAGCACCCCTGGGCCTCGCTGACCTGTGAGCTTGCCTCCCATCCATCCACCCGCCTCTGTCCTTCAGCAGCCATGCACAGAGCTCCATGCACACAGCAGGCTTTCATCAGACAGCCATTTATTAAGTGCCAGCTGCATGCCAGGCCCTATATCAGGCACAAGGGCAGGGTGCATGGGAGAGAGAGGGGAGGGGTTCCCCACTTGTTAGGCACCTGCTGTCGCCTGTCCTGCTACCACCCTGTGGTACCTCCTCCTTACTTGCTACCCTGCGACCTTCAGTAAGTCCCCTGGCCCCCCAAGCCACTGAGTCCTCATGGGTGCTTTGACCCACAGCTCCCTGAAGGGTGAGAACTTAGCAGAACACATCGATAAATGTATGCCACGCTCTACCAAGTTCTGAACATTCTGGCTGGACCCTCACAAGGTCCTCTGCAGTGGGGACCTACAGGCAGCAGCCCCCCTGAATGGATGAGAATACTGAGGCTCAGAGAAGGGGATACATATATGCATGGGGGAAGGCGTTGCTGGTTCCAGGTCAGGTTGGAGGTGGGAGGAGGTGGGAACCAGGTGGCAGCTGGGCCCTGCCACCCCCACACTGAGTCCCTGCTCTGTCATTGCCAGGTCCTGGAGGAGCGCATGAAGCTGGAGTGCAAGTGCCACGGCGTGTCGGGCTCGTGCACCACCAAGACGTGCTGGACTACGCTGCCCAAGTTCCGCGAGGTGGGTCACCGGCTCAAGGAGAAGTACAACGTGGCCGTGCAGGTGGAGGTGGTACGGGCCAGCCGCCTGCGGCAGCCCACCTTCCTGCGCATCAAGCAGCTGCACAGCTTCCAGAAGCCCATGGAGACGGACCTGGTGTACATTGAGAAGTCACCCAACTACTGCGAGGAGGATGCGGCCACAGGCAGTGTGGGCACGCAGGGTCGCCTGTGCAACCGCACCTCACCAGGGGCTGACGGCTGTGACACCATGTGCTGTGGTCGTGGCTACAACACCCACCAGTACACCAAAGTCTGGCAGTGCAACTGCAAGTTCCACTGGTGCTGCTTCGTCAAGTGCAACACGTGCAGCGAGCGCACGGAGGTCTTCACCTGCAAGTGAGCCACCAGGCTTTGCGGCAGGTGAGCCACTCGGAGGCTGCAGCCCCCCCGCTGGCGGAATTTTGCACGTGCCCTCTGCCCACCCTGCTCTCCGCAGCTGGCTGTAGGCAGAAGTTGGGGAAGGAGGGAGCTCTGGGTGCAGGAGGGCTCCCACCTGGCCTTCACCTTCTCCCTGCTCCCCCACCCCCGGCACCCGGGGCTCCTTCCTACCATTCCCGTCACTTCCTGGGGCAGAACAGTGCCCACCACCTAGCCGAGAGGGCGAGGCCAATGGCACCGGCGTCCTTGACGAGGACAGTGAATTCCTTTTCTGTTCTCCGGAGAGTGAATCTCAAGGACGCACATGTATCCTGGAAAGCAAAGCAATGACGAGACTCTGAGTGTCCCCCTCCCTCTCCTGATGGCACAGAAGTGGAAATGCCATGCCGGCCCCACGCAAGACTGTTTCCCAGGCTGCATCAGCTGCTGGGCCCCAGGCAGTGTGGACAGATGCTGACAAAAATTATTTATGTTTTCTTAGTATCAGAATAGGATTCTTAGCGCTAAGGCTAACCGGTCCTAACCCCACGCCCTCCGTGTTAGGGCACCCCTTGCTGCCCTCTGCTTCCTCTCCTGGCCCCTGGGGGCCCACGGGAGCATCCCAGTGCCTGGCACCCTCCTGACCCTGCCCCAGGTGGAGGTGGCAGTGCGTGTGGTTCCCAGGGCAGTTGGGCAGACGCTGGGAGGCCCACATGGCCCCAAGAGGGCCTCTGAGGGGGGCCATCGGCAGGGACCTCCAACCCCTCTTCCTTTCTTTTTGAAAATCGTATCAAAAAATCAAAATGTCACCTGTGTCAGGTTCCAAGAGTGTCGCTTCCCCTCCCTGATGCTGTCCCCCTCCCAGCCCCCTTCCAGCCTGGCACTCCCCCACCCCAGTTTACAGAGCACCCTCCTACCCTGGAGCCACAGAACCCCCAGGACAGCATTGTGCCGGGGGTGGGCTGGGGGTTGGGGTGCAGTTCAGGGATGTTTGCCTTCTTTCACAGGCCCGGGATGGCTTGAGCACTGGCCAGAGATCCCCGAGTGGAGGCTCCCGCCTTGGCTCAGGCGTCCTGACCCCCAGCTGTGCACCCTGACCCCAGAGGATGTGCCCTGGGGACTCCCAGGACGGCATGAAGCGCCCCATGCCTGAGAAGTCTGGCTGTGTCCCTCCCCCTGCTGCCAGCCTCTGGGGGCTGCACCCCAGCCCCTGAGGTTTCTCCGGGGGTCTCCTTGACCATCTCAGCTCCTTGCCCTGACCCTAATGCTGAGAAAACTCAGATCTGGGGCTTCACTCTGCCAGGACCCTGCCTACTGTCCCAGCAGATGCTACCCTCCAGACACCTCCCCATACCATGCAGACCCTCCCTTGAAGTCCAACTCACCCCAAAACCTGGGAGATGGGAATGAGAAGGGGTCCTGCTCAGTTCTAAACTATGTATGGGGTGGGGAGAGGTGGAAACCTGGTACCCAGGGCTGGACATGTCCTCTGTTAGCATTCCCACCCCTCCCTGGGGAGACTGAGGCATGGAGGAAGTGATTTGCCAGAAAGGATGGCATGCAACTGGCTTCTGGTGCGCTCCCACCCGCCCCCAGTCTAGCGGATTTCCTTGCAGAAACCTGTGGAGATGTGTCCTCGGGCAGTTGACCAGCCAAGTGGTCTGGACATTAGCCTGCAGTGAGTGACACTGTGTGAGCCTTGGTGCTGGTGTCCACCCTGTGTGCCCCCAGTGGTGCCAGGACACTCCATTAGCTGCTGTCCGGGGAGCTTCACCGTGAATGCCCCCCAGCCCCACCACCCTACCTACCTGGGTCCCTGGACACGCCCAAGGCCACAGGCCCAGCGTCCTCTGCCAAGGAACCTGGTTAATTTATATTGTTATATAGTGTCGAAATGTCTATAGTGTCTTAAATTATTGTGACCTACACTGGGTACTGGAGGCGGGGATGGCCCTGTGCTGTCCCCGAGCCAGGCTCCTCCTTCTGCTTGAAACAGACTCTTGGGGCCCCTCCCTGATGCCACCGAGTCATGCGCACTGTCCCTCGGCTGCCAGGCGCCCCCGCCGAGGCCCCACCCTTCCTAATAGTCTGTCAGCAGCAGCCTTTCCTTGGGGTGAGAGGGGCGGTGGCAGCAGTGTCCCTACAGTGCCCCCACTCAGAGGAGCTGGTGGGGTTTCTGACGGGCTATCCGGTCTCCCTTGGAGGGGAGCGCCCGGCTCCAATAAAGCTGGAATCGGAGAAGCAAATGCGTGTGAAGCCCACTCGACGCCCGCGCAGCTCTCGCCCCTGGGGGTGGGGCTATAAGCATCGCCCCCTGAGGACAAGCCCCGCCCCTGGGCCTCACATGCCCCCACCCTCTGGCTTCCAGCCTTCTCTGCTGGGGGCTGGGCGGGCCTGAGCTCAGGTGCCCCGTCCTTATAACTTGCCCAGGTCCCAAGTGGGCTCCTGAGTCTCACCTGCCCGCAGGCAGCTTGGGCCCCTGGTAGGGGCTGGGCACAGACCCTGGGCCTCCCTGGGCAGCCGAGGTTGGGCTGTAGAGACACAGGGCTGTGGGCCTGGGGCTGGAGCCCAGTACCAGGGCTGTGGGAGGGCTGCTCCCCAGAGAATGGGACCCCCCAGGAGCTGGGAGACACCTGCAGCCAGGACGCCCTGGCTCTGTCTCCCTCTGAGTGTGCTTCCCTTCTGCCCCAGCTGACCTCTGGGTCCCCGGGGGTCTGCCCAGCTGTGTCTGAAGGGTTTTGGCCCAGGTGTCCCCTGGCCCTCTCCTTGTCCTCTCCAGGCATGGGAAGGTGGCCTGAGGACCCTGGGAGTTCACCAGCCCCTGCCTGGCCACCAAGCCGTGCTGCCTGTCCCCTCTGCACCACCTGCGGTAACTGTGCGAGCACAGGAGGATGAATGGCATTCCTGCCGAGGGCCGGAAGGCATGTGGTGGGGCCGGTTTGGCCACTGCCCCCTGTCCCGGCAGCCTGGCATCGGGCGGAACCGCTGATCAAACAGCCCCCATCCACGCTGTGCCCGCCTGGGCACCCACAGAGCCTGGCCTGAGACCTGATCCCAGCGGAGGGGCCAGGCGGGCTTTCTGAGGGGGCTTGCTCCTCCCAGGTGGGGAGGGGGAGACAGACACGAAATTACTCTGGAGCTGGAGTCCAAGTTCTGCCCTTCCCTGATGCCCAGGCACGCGCAGCCTCTGGGGTGGTGCTCCCATACACGGCCTCTGTTTCCCATCTGAGAGAGGCGGTGGCCAGGGCCAAGCCTGTGGGGCCCCGGCCTGGGCCAGGCAGCTTGGCAGGCGGCCCCTGTTCCCCACGAGACGGTAAGGCAGCCCGCAGTGGCGGCTGCAGTGGAACGCAGGGTCCGGCTACCCCCCCCAGGGCCAGGAATGAGGAAGGAGCTCTGGGAACGCCCCAGCCCCAGTGCCCAGACTGTACTTACTTCTTGGCCACGGTTCAACCGAAGCCCTGGCCTCCCAGGGCCGCCCAGCACATCCTCTGAGGGGCCCTGCCTGAGGCATTGGGCCCACACTGCCTGGCCCGTCTTGGGGGCCCACCTGACCCCCAGCTCTAGGCTCACCTCTGAGACTGGGATCTCAGAAGCATTTCCCCAGGCAGCCCCATCTCCAGCCAAGGCTCAGTGCCCTCAGAGTGACACCCCCATACCCCCTTGGCCCTGGACCCCCTGCTCCTAGCTGGTCCCTGGGCATGCCAGGTGCCCTCCTGCCTCTCCGCATTTGCCAGGGCTGCTCCTTCTCCCCGGCCTTCCTGCTGTGCTCTGGGAGCACAGGTCACCAGCACAGGAGCCGGTCTCTGCTGGGTGGGATCTGGGGACCCTGGAGGGGAGAGCCTGAGGTCCTGGGGGCACATTTCTGCCACCCATTCTCTCATTCATTCACATGCCCTGGGGACAGGAGGTAGGGGGGTGCTGTGGTTCTCGCCTGCTCCTGGCCCTGACCTCCACGGGTTCCAGGTCTTCACCCCTCTCCAACCTCGTCTGTCCACTCAGCTGCTGCCTGGCGGCTAAAGTTCCCAGAGGGCCCTGTGGCACTGGCGGGCAGAGGCTTGCTCCCTGGAGTGGTCTTTGGGGTCCCTCCTGACCCTCTGCCCCATCTCCTGTAGCCCACTTCCACCCCCACTTCATGCAAAGCCCCTGCCCTGCTGGCAAGCCGCTGCTCCCCAGAACTGCCCATCATGCTGCACCCCCGCCACCGCCCCGCCCGCCTTTGCTCCAGCAGGGCCCACGGCCCCTTCTTGTCCACCCCCCAGCCCATCTCCCCCTGCAAGCTCAAGGGGACCCTTGCTCTCTCCCTCGCTTCCACCCTGGCCCTCACCCCGATGGGCAGGAGTCACACTGCAGCAACTTCCCCTGCCCTCCAAGCAGGCTGAGGGTTCTTGGAAGTGAGCGGGCCTGTAGAATGCTGAGCACCCCTCATTCCAGACACCGGGTCTGGGCTGCAGGCACCCACAGGCTTCACAACGCCCCTTTCCCAAACAGGTCAGTGTGGGCTCCATTTTACAAATGGGAAAACCGAGGCACAAACACTAGAGTTTTGTCGCGGGCCACACAGCCAGTGAGAGGCAGAACTGTGTCCTGAACTCAGGTCCTCCAGAGTCTTTCTTCTACCCAACTCACAGGGCCCCTCCTCCCAGGGGAAGTGGAGGCTTTGTCCAAGGCCACCCAGTGGTGAGCGGGAAGGGAATGGCTGAGGGGAGCCTCAGGGAGCAGGTGGACCCTTTACCAATGGCAGAACAGGAGACACTGAGCTAAAAAGCAGCGGGCAGGGTCTGGGTCAGACATCGGGGCAGACTTCCGAACTCCCAGGGCTGCGGGTGGGGAGGAGGCGGGACAGGCAGGCCTGCGGTCTGGGGCTTAGCCAGGAGGGGAAGAGAGGTGAGCGGGTGCTGGAGCTCCGTCCGCAAAGGCGGGTGGGAAGAGCGTGCCGTCCCCGGGGCAGAGCGGCCAGAGCCCCTCCTGGGAGGCGCCGCACCAGGAGCCTGGGTCTCACTGCTGGCCTGGCCCCTTCCCCTCCTCTGGCTCTTTGCTTGCAGCCACCTTCCTTCTCTGAGATGCCACCTGCCTGCTCATCAGGCCCGTGACCTTTCAGGACCTGGGCACTCAGAGCCGCCTGGCTTGGGTGTCCCAGCCAGGGGGTTGCAGGCCTGGTTCCCACAGCAGTGCCCAGCAGAGGCCCTGGGGGATGGGGTCAGCCAAATGCACAGGTGGCAAGGGCCAGGGCCCAGGCCAGAACTGCCTGGCTAGCCCTCCGCCAGTCGCGCCCTCCCGTGGTCTGGGCTACGCGCCTCCCTGAGCACAGCTGGAACCCGCAGCCACCTGGGACAGACACAGTGGACAGCCCTCTGGCCTTTTTGGGAACAGCCCGGCTGCAGGTCCTGCAGACCCAGGATCAGGAGCCCTCTTCCTCCACCTGCAGGCAGAGGCCAGTGACCAGCAGGACAGGGCTGGGACACCCTCCATGCGCTGGACACGGGTGACCTTCCTGGGGCCACACTGGTGTCTGCTGGGTGGCCAGCCCATGCACCTTGAAGCCTGAAGGTGGCCTTCAGGATCCTAGTCCTTCCAGGAATAGCCCAGCGGAGGGGGGTGGGCGGTTGGCTGGCAACTCTGGGCAGCCCAGATGCCAGGGCTGGGCCACAGCTGGGGACATTCCCCTGCTCAGCCTGAGTGCCCCACTCCACGGCCCCAGAGCTGGCTGGGAGGCTTTGCCCAAGGTCCCTCTGCTGGTTTCTGGCTCCTGAGACCTTGCCTCTCCCATCAAGGATGGGGTATTGTTTCCACTCATTCCTACCTTTCTCTGCTCACTCACCTGTCGCTGCTAACCTCCTCTGTACCTGGCGCTTGGCACAGCATTGAGGGGTCCCAGCGCTGAATTTGAAATGAGGTCTTCCCTTACTAAACACCAGGCCAGGATGGGGAACGGAATGATAAACAAACAGGCCCCACCCCATACCCCAGGCAGCACGGGAGGCCAGTAGGGCCTGGGAGCTCGGTCGAGGCTTCCTGGAGGAGTGGGCATCTCTGCTGAGGCCTGGAAAGGCAGGGAGGGCAGAAGGAAAAGAGACTCCTCAGGACAGGAGTGGAGGTGAGGGAGGGTCTTGGTGAGACAGCATGGAGTTTAAGGGGCTGGGCAATGGGGAGACCTGTGGCTGACAAGATTCCAGAATATTCTGGAAGAACAGGGGAACCTTGCACTTGAGACTCTTAGTTTGCAGCATTTGGCAGGAAATTTCCCTGCCCACTACCCATCCCCACCTGTGGCCAACACAGTCCTGTGTCCTCTGGGCAGAAGGCCTGCGTGCCAGCTGGCTTCTCTGACACTCACTAATGTCTGGAGCCCTCCAGTATCCAGTAGAGAAGTGTCTGAAATAGTCTTCAGGTTGTGAGGGGTGGGAAGTGAGGGCTAAACTCTGTGCCCCCCCGTGGGTGCTCCCCTCCCCCGCTCCCCCATCCCTCTTCTGGGCCTGGGGGCTGGGGCTCTCAGTTACCCGAGGGTTTGACAGGCTTTGGACTGTTTTACAAGATCCCACCAGTCTAATAAGAGCGTTTGAGGAAAAGCCTCCGTAGTCCTCTGGGTCTTAGTTGCCCTACGTGGACTGGCTGATACCAGGATCCTGTCGGCCCCACGATGGCCCAGGCCGGGTGGGCACTGCGCAGGCCGGCCCCAGACTTCCCATGCCTGCCCACTTTGAACCAGCGAGGCTAACTCCAGGGCTTTGCGCTTCTCCTTGTCAACTAGCTGGGGAGGGGGAGCCCTGCCAGCTGAGAAAGTGGGAATGGCCTTGTGGATGGGTCCTGGATGCGTGGGGTGACCAGTGTCTGCGTCCCCTCTTGGGTTCCCAGGGAAAAAGATGGCTCAGTCTCAACTGCAAACACTGGGAGTGTGAGGGAAGCTGGTGGTGACGAGGCTGAGTCGCCAGGATAGCCTCTGGGAGCAGGGGATGCCCACCTCCAGGAGCGCTCCCTATCTCTAAGGGCCCCTCGCTAGTGCAGAGGGCCTGTGGGCCATCCGAGTCCGCCAGCGCCTCTCAGAAGGCAGGTTCTGGGGTGGCCCCAAGAGGACCGGCAGGGGGCAGGCCCCAGGCCCCACTGCAGCCCACAGCCCCAAGGAGAGAGGTGGGCGGGCTGGGGGAGCTGCAGAAGGCCAGTGTGGCTGGAGAGGAGGGAAGGAGTCGTCGAGACGCGGCTGGACAGGCAGCAGGCTCAGGGGCCCCATGAGGACCTGGGCTGCAAGGTGTTCGGCAGATAGGGCCACGGTGCCTTCAGTTCCAACAGGATCCCTCCGCAGCCGCGCTGTGAAGTCTAAGGGGCGGGGCTGGAGGCGAGGAGGCGGGGCGAGGAGGCTGCTGCACCGGCCCAGGCAGGAGTGGCCGGGGGGAGCTGGGGGACTGGGGGCCTGTGCTGCAGGCAGAGCAGTGGCACTTCCTGAGGGGAGCCCAGGCTCTGGGCAGGACTCCCTGGGAGGAGAATGTCTGGGCTGAGCGTGCCAGCCGTCCCTCGGCAGCAGCGGGAGGGATTTGCCCTGGTGCGCATGGGGTTGGGCAGGAGCCGGATGCTGGCTGGCCTCCTGCTCAGAGGGAATGCTGGGAGGAAGCAGCCCCTGCCCTCCTTCCCCTGTGTGGCCTTTGGGTCACGGGACGGGCCTGCTGAGCCCGGGGCCTCCCCGGGGCTCAGGGTCTAATACTTCCTGCCCGTTTGGCCTTGGCCCCGCTCTGCCTCGGTTTCCCCCCTGTAAGGTGAGAGTGTCCGTCTAGGGGTTGGGAGGAAGGCCCAGGGCGGTGCCCATGATGGCCCCTCAGCAGGAGGTAACGGCCTTCCCTCCCGGTGCCATCCAGGGGGCAACCAGGGATTAACCTGAGAAGCCCCTCAACCCGTGTCCTGCTCGGTGCGCCTCTGCTGGGTGGGCTCCTCACTGGAGGGGTGCTGTTGGGGCAGGCAGGCCCTTCCCCACCCTCCCTTCTCCTGAGAGTAGCCCTGGATCCCCAGGGAATTCTGCCTGAGGCCGGACCCCTCACTGGTCCCGGCCCGGCTTGGCCAGAACAGGCCCCACAGGCATGGAGTCACTGGGAAATCTGGGAATCTAGGATGATAACCTGAGCCCCACCCTCGTGTGCCCACTGCACTCTACAGTTTACAGACCTCCCTCACGACCACATTCTGGCTTGGTCTTATGGCCTGGGAGTCCCAAATCGCAGCCTCCTCTCATCCTCAGGGGTCCCTGCAGCTGGCACCCCTCCCTTTGCTGGGTCCTGACCAAGGCTGGGCCTCAGGGCCCTGGGGAAACCTCGCTATACCTCCTTGGGGCTCTCCTAGCCGTCAGAATCCCCAATCTGTCTCCCTGGCTGATGTGGTCAGTGACCTCCTTGACCGCCAGCTCCCAAGGGTGGCACCCAACCTGTCCCCATAGCTGCCCCTGGCCCTCTGGGGACCCCCTGGGGCCACTTGCGCGGGATTCCTCCCTGGAGCCTGGCAGACACCCTGCCTGAAGAGCCCGGGTTCATGCCCCAGCTGCACCCTGTGACGTGGCCATGTGGCCTGAGTGGCCCCCCACCCCTCTCAGGTGGTTTGAGTGGGTCTCACATCTCCCTGCTCCCCCCAGTCCTGTGCAGGTCTGAAGGTTTCCCCCCACCCCGTCCCCAGCACCTCCCTCACTAGCCCCTCTTGGGGGTCCTCTGGCCTCACCCACTCCTTCTGGCTGAGACTCCCCTGGTGCCCCTGACATCTGGCTTCCAGGAGGTCCAGTCTGCACCAGGTGCCCTGTGCCACCCCCACCAGGCTATGTTATCATGGTCTGCTTACTCTCAGGCTGGATGGGGGTGTTATTGTTACCATTGGGTACAGGGTGGCAGCCCCTCTGTGGTGCCCTGGCCCTGCCGCCTGCCCGCCTGGGTGTGGCCTTGCCTAGTGCTGATGTAATGGGCACCTTAGTCCCGTAATCATTATCTGATACCTTCATACTCCTGTCATTGGCAGTTAAGTCAAAACTTGGCACAAGACCCAGAGTGCCAGGCCAGGCCTTGCACAATGCCAGGCCTGGCGCCGGCAGAGGAATCCCCACAGGGATGCAGAGAAGTGCCTATTTTTAGCCTTCAGGAGAAAACTAAACCCCAGCGCACACAACATGCAACCCAAATATTTGTTTTTATTCTTAAAAGGGCTTGGGTGGTGGGTTTGGGGTCTGAAGCACACGCTTGGCTGAGCCACACTGGCTCAGAGGGAGCCTTGCCTGTCCCCACATGCCCCACCCAGCACTTCTTCCAGACGACCCCACGCTGCCACTCCAGGAGCCTCCCAGGGTCCCCGCCCACCCGCCCAAGCAAGGTCGGAGAGCCAGGTGACTTCCCATTCCCCAGCTGGCTCAGCAGGCCTCCCCCCTGCCCGGACACCTGCCCGGACACCTGCTCCTCCCCCATGGGCGGCCTTGGAAATTGGGCATCCTAAGGCCTCCTCTGCCAAGTCTTCCCCTGCGCAGGACTCCCCTTAGCTTTCACACTGGCCCTCCATTAGCAATGTGGGGGGTAGGTGTCCCCTCTTTGCGGTGCCTCTTGAGTGGGCCCTTGAGCTGCGTCCGGGGAAAGCAGACTTGAGGAAGCGCCCACGGTGCACAGGACCTTGGAGAGAGGCATGGGAAAGTTTGTGCTGCAGCTGAGGATGGCCACGGGGTTTCCCTGGGAGCTGGGAGGGAGGGCCGGGCACTCTTGACCGGGGCTGCTGGAGCTGGTGACTGTGCCAGGTGGCTTACACAACACGTTTACTCTGTCCCAGTCCTGAGGCCAGAAGTCCAAAGTCAAGGTGTCAGCATGGCTGTGTCCCTTGGCATTCTAGGGGACAATTGTTCCTTGCCTCTTCCAGATCCTGGTGGCTGCCAGCATCCTTGGCCTGCGGCCATATCACTCTGACCCTCAGGGCCAGCCTCTTCGGATCTCTCTCTGTCCCTCTTCGTGTGTCAAAGCTCCCTCTGCCTCGCTTTCGGGACACACGTGATTGCATTTAGGGCCCATGGCCGACCCAGGACCATCTCCCATCCCCAGATCTTTACCTTAATCACATGTGCCATGTAAGGAAACACCTACTGGCTCTGGGTTCAGGACCTGGCTGTCTGGGAGGCCCTGCAGTGCAGCCTGCTACAGCGGGCCTGGGCTGCTGACTCCGCCAAGCCCCCTAGAGGCGCTCCTTCTGGAAAGAGAGCAAAGGTTGGGGGAAGTCACCAAGGCTGCTGTGTCCAGACCTTGTGTTTGGGGGCACAGAGCTCATTGCTGCACCTCAGACCACCAGGCGGGATTGCTGTGGGGGTGAGGGCCACCCTAGGGTGCAGCGGCCTGGGTTAGCATGGGCTCACACCCAAGGGTGCACGGGGCTCAGGGCCCGAGGCTGTTGCTGTGTCCCTGGTCCGCTCCTCCACGGGCCTCCCCTCAGGCGCGTCAGCAGGAAGGTGTGAGGAGTGTAAATGTCCAACAAATGCTGGCTCTTAACCTTTCTGCGACTCTGCCCTGTCCTGGCCCAGCCCCTCCTGCCCAGGACCTGACGGCTCACCTTCTCCATGGTCAGGGTCTGCACAGGACCCTGGAATCTCTCCTGGTCCCCGATCTGCCTGGGACGCTCTCCTCACAGAGGCACCAGGCTGCAAACAGAACAGGCCACGGCGTCACTGGACGCCTCTCCCTGGAGCTTGCTCCCAGGCTTCTGGTTGGTTCCAACGGCATATGTGCCCCATGGAGGGGACTGCTGCTGGCTTATCACCACTGTGGCCCAGTAACAGGGCCTGGGCATAGCAAGAACAGAGCAATGCTTTGCTGACCCAGTGGATGGATGCTTCCTGACATTAGTTCAATGATGAGAAAATGCCGTAAACATCAGAAAACAATTTCTAAGGAAAAACCAAACAGCCAGTTGGGTGAACATGGGGCCACCAGACTGCTGAGCAAGCCGAGAATGGTGAGGTCTCTGGCCCCACACCCTCTGGCCATGAGGGGTCTGGGCCTGAGGCTCCGGCTGGGTTCAGGTTCCGACGAGATTAGGAACTCAGGTGAAACTTTTGTCCACTGCGTGCACTTATTGTATGCCCAGTGCATGCCAAGACCGCCCGGTAAACAGAGAACTAAATGCTAGATCAGGGACTTTCCTGGCCCTGGGGACATGCACAAGACCCCAAGCCCATCCTCAGGTCCAGAAGATGCTTCCGGAGCAGAATGGGAGGTCGTACCTTTCTGTCATGGTGTCCCGGGACTGGCACATTGTAGGGTTCAGTGATCCCTTTGAAACAAATCAGACAGAAAGATCGAGACAGCCCCAGCCGTCCTCAGGCACACAGTGGGCGGCGTTCCGAGGAGTGTTCTCAGTGGTTTAAGCCGCACACCCTCTCCCACCTCACAGTAAGCGTGTTTGAGGGGAGAGGGCTTGGGGCCTGAGCCGCCTGGCCTGGCTGACCAGAGGCGAACACTGACCCAGGAGTGCATCTCTGGCCCAGACATCTTCCCTGGGGGGTGCTGGGTGGGGTGGGCGCTGGGAGGTGTTCCGTGAGGCTGTTCCCACGTTCTCTGGAGCCCTGGGCTCGGGCAGGTGTTCAGGGGCTGCTCAGGTCAGGAGCTCAGCCCTCAGACCCACTTCTACAGAGCAGCTTTGCTGTGACCAGTTTTGTAAGTTGGGGGTTCCACAGAGGCATTCATTTGACAAAGGGGTCTTGCAACTAAAGATGTTTTAAAGTCACAAAGCAAGCCTAACCCCGGGGTGTGGCCTGGGACAGAGCAACGGGGTGCCAATCACCCCACCTCCAGCCAGAGATCCCGAAGGAAAGTCCTGGACAAAAGCCGAGGCCAGGAGAGTCTGTGCTTCAGTGTTCCTAAGCGAAACTGTCACAGAAAGGCAAGTTCCAGAAATGCTTCAAGAGCTTTTAGGCACGCTGATTAGTCACTGAGGCCGTGGAGCAGGGCAGGCAGCACAAGGCAGCCTCGTCACGGGGCGCAGGCGGCCTCACCTGGGGTCACGGTGGGCGACACACCTGCCGTTTCCCAGGAGGTCAGAGGCTGCTGCCCACTTCTGGCTGCGCGCAGAGGGGAGGTCCCGGCAGGGCAGGCAAGCTGGCGGAGTTCACTGAGCCCCTGGGTGGGCCGAGGGCTCAGCCTCACCCATCTCACGAGGCAGCAGTGCAATCACCATACCCGCCACCTCTGCCTCAGGCCTCCAGGTTGAGCCCTGTGGACCGAGGAAGGTGTGGCCCTGCCAGAAGGAACGGCCCAGCAAGGCGACCAGACGAGAACCCAGGGCCCAGACAGAAGTGCCTGGGACGAGGGGCCCTGGGGCTCAGAGGGGGCAGACCATCTCCTACCACCCAGCATCCTAAGGCAGAATCCCACCTTTCTGACCTGACTGGTGTGATGGATGAGGGGCTTGCAGAGCCAGGCTGAGGGCAGGTTGGTCTGTCCCAAGGGCCGTGGGAGTGCACCGGGCACCCACAGGAGGCCAGGAGAGCTCTGGGGGCCAAGGGTCCCTAGGCCAGCAGAGGCTTGGGGTCAAAAGTGTGCAGGGCCTTGAATGCCAAGCCTGGACCACTGCTTGCTTCCACCCCCAAGAGCTATGGAAACCCCCTGGGCCAGGGCCTAGTGGCTTCTGGGGGTCAAGCTCAGTGGGTCCAGCCTCTCAGGCTGCGTGCCTTCGGCTCTCAGCTATGTCTGTCACTGCTGATTCTCAGTTGGTCAGGAGAGCTCTCCTCCGTGGGCCCCCCACCCAGCACCTGCCCCAGGCCTCCCAAGGGCCAGGAGCGAGAGGGTGGGCTCTTGAACAAGGACAGCTGGTGAGTGGATGCAGGGGAGAGTGGAGCAGTGAGCTGAGCAAGCCCCGCAGGGAGGACCAGGCCGGCAGAGGGCAGATGGACCAGCCTGGCCCCAACCCCCAGGGCCTCGATTGCTCTCTGGGGTCCTACAGCACCTGTGGACATAGCCGCGCGGCCCACACTCAGACCCACAGCACCTCAGGCCCCTCCCTTCCCGGGTGCCGCTGCCCCTGGGCCCCTTCCAGTCCTCTCTGTGGTAAACCCCTGTACATCCTTCAAGACCAGGTTACATGTCACCTCTCCAGGGGAGCCCCCGAGACTGTGTAAACAGGGCAGGACAGGGGCTCCAGGGACCGAGCCGGGGCCGTCGCATCCCAGGGCCTGAGCGACTGTTGGCACCAGCCCCTGGGCCCCACCATGGCACGCCCTGAGCAGAGCCTGAGGCACCCTGCCTCACAGGACTCCTAGGCACAACTCACCAGGGGGCAGACCAGGCGAGGGGCCTGGCCAGGTGGGTGTGGCCTGTGTCCCTTCCCGGCTCCCTCATCACTGCCTTGGCTGGCGCCCCATGGCCTGACCTCTCCAGGCCTCAGTTTCCTCCTCTGTGGGGTGAGGGTTGTCTCATCTCACACACATGAGGCTTAAATGGCCCTGTGAAGAAGCCTGCCAGGCTTGGCACCCGGTGAAAGGAAGAGCCTGGCCTCATGTTCACTGCAGAAGGGCGGCCTTGACAGGACAGTTAACCCCAGAGACACACTGACCTTGAGAGTGTGTGCCCGCCTCTCATGGGGGGAGGGGACGGCAGCTAGCGCCGGCCCCAGGAAGCTCGTCCCACACCTGACCCTGCTGCCCACACACACAGCTCCCGCCCTGCAGCCCACTCTTGGGGGCAGGGTCCTGGTCAGCCTGGGGTCCCTGAGTACCCAGGGAAGCCCCGGGTGACAGAGTGATGGCCCTACTCTGGGTGGGTCCTTCACCCCCATGGGGCCCATTTCTTCCTCTGTAAATGGGGCATGTGCCTGCCCTGCAGGGTGACATGTCCCAGGAGGTCCCGTGGAGGCCGCCATTGCAGTGGTGTCAACAGGGAAGCCATGTGATCTCCGTGGCCTTGCGTCGGGCCCTTGAAGCAGTGGACATTCTCTGACCCTTCTGGCTGTCCAGTGGGGATAGGGTCAGGGCATGTAGGGGGCTCACAGGCTGCACCCTCCTGCCCCACAACCCTCAGGTTCGGTGGGGCCCAGGAGATGGCTCTGTTGTCATGGGCCTGGGAGAGTCCCTGGGTCCTGTCTGTGGGACCTCAGCACTGCCGCAGCTCTGCCCCTGTGAGCTGCCCAGGCCTCTGCCTTTAACGGGGTGGGGAAGGGCCTGCAGTCCTGCGGGGCCGCTGGTGGGCTGTGGTCAGCCAGGCCAAGAGACCTAGCGCTGGGGGCTTCCGGCCTTGGGACAGAAGCTCCCCTTTGGGGCCCCAGTTTCCTTGTCTGTGGGCAGATAATCTCCACCTGCATTGTGGGAGCCGGCTGGGCCCTGGGAAGACGCCCCGGGCCACTGCTTGGGCCTAGAGGGCAGCCCCCAGGGTTTTTGCTGGCAGCCCCACCCTTGGGGTAATTGAGAAAGCGGCTTCCTTTTAATTAGAGCTCTGCAAAGGGCCCCGGCTCCCCAGGAAAGGAAAAGTGTAGATGCAGAATAATTAGCCAGACAAAAGGCAAATCCTCTTAGCAGCTCCCTGGGCGAAGGCAGGTTAATTGGTGGAAGCTCCTGCCCGGCCCGGCCAGACACCCCAGCTTTACTCAGCCTCCCACCGCTCCCTGACCCCGAGGCCACACCTGCCCTGCTGTCTGCGTGGGAACCCAGCAGGGGCTCCAGCTGCCCTCTGACCCGCCAGGTCCTCTGCTCAGCCCCCTGGCTCCTCCCTCGTCACCCCCAGAGCCCATGAGCTCTGGAGCAGCCCGGCCGGCCTCTCTGCAGCCCCCGTGGCCCTAGGCAAGCGCCTAGCACTGTCCCAAAGCACGTTTTCCTGGGGCCACCCCCTTGCCCAGCACACCTCTGAACCTCTGCCGGGGCTGACCACGCCCTGCTTGGCCTGCCCGCTCCGCACCAACACCTGGCCTCGGGACAGCTCCTCCTCCAGGGGGCAGGACCGCCAAGCTGCACCCAGACTGGTCCCTGCCCCAGAGCCCACCCACAGGGCTCTCACAGAGGTTGCTGCGGGGACTACCCTCCATCTCTGCAATTCGTCCCTGTCCTTATCTGTCCCCAGGCAGAGTTGGGGTCATCTCCAGAGGCTCAGGGCCCAGCCCAGGCCCAGCATGGAGGAGGCCCTGAAGGACACCCAGGCACCTGGCAGAGGCTCCATGCAGGTGTAAATGAGGCCAGCCCAGCCAGGGGCCAGGGGGCTGGGGGCTCCCAGAAACTGGAGGTCATGGAGGGGGAAGAAAGTGGGGGAGGAGCGAGGGGGGAGGGATGGGACAAAGGGGGTGTCAGCGCCACTGGTTGGATTATGATGCCTTCAGGATCGCCAGCCCCCCGCTGGGCAAGGCTCACTGGGAGGCCCACTTTCATTTCCACCTTTGTGTAAGTCATTTAGAAATGTCCCTTTCCCCGCCCTGCTGCGTGAGGCTGTTCTCGGGCATGGTCCCTGGGTGGACCCTAGAGCCACAGCTGCCATCGTCACTGTCCACAACCATGGACAGAGCAAGAGGCATCTGGTCAGGCAACAAGGCTTCTGAGCGCAGTGTTCAGGGTCTCTGGTCACACGCGGAGCTTTGGGAGAGCCAGGGTGTGGCGGGGTGGCGAGGCCCCTGTCCCTGTGGTTCAGTGAAGAGTGGGGGGCCCAGATAGGGGTGGGCCTGGCCCAAGGTCACCACAGGGCTCCTGGGGCAGCCCTGGGCCCCTTCCTGCTCCCCCTCCCTGACAGACCGTGAGTCAGCCCCACCCTCCATCTGAGACCGAGGGCTGGGGTGGCTTCGG